AATAAAATATTTTAATTTTCGAAAGAAGAAATTAATAAAATTTTAAATGTATTGAAAATTATTTTTAATGGTAAGAAATGTTTCTGTCCATCAAGAGTAGTACACATTTCTTACCGTTACCACAATTGGATCTCGCTAGTACGACGATTGTGGTAAATAGCACGAATTTGATTTTAATTTAAAAAAATATTTTATTGAAAAGAGATAGGTAATGTCTTTTGCAAATTGCTGTTACTTGCAATTACAGCATTTTTATATTTCTTCATTTTACGATAGTTGTTGCACGTTACTCGAAGCGCGTACTTTTTCGTTATTTTGTAGGTACTGAATCAGTTTCGCAGTAGCAGTGAAGCATATCGTATCATGGACGATGAGTTGAATAAAGTGAACCAGAGCGAATTGGCGGACGATGATGAAGTGTTGCCGCTGTCTGTGGATTTCTGGGAGACTGCACAAGCTGTAGTCGAAAATTTGATTGGTGAATATATCGCGGAAGATGGCAGCACACCAAACAGTGTTATGCAAAAACCGAGCACTGCACTGGCTGAGAAAACCATATTGTTTCGATTTGAAGCTTCCGCCTGTGCAACTCAATCCGGTCAAGCTGTTAAACAGGTAATAATTGTTGTATTTTTTACTGTGTGGTAACGCTCAGATTCATATGGGACTGCGTATCTGTTACAAAAGGAAGAAGAAGCGAATAGCAAAGAAACGATGATGAAGGCTAAACCCCCTCATCGCCTTGCCCACTTGCCGTTCGGTTCTCTGCGATATGCGAATGTTCCGTCTCTTGACTTGAGCTCCCCCTCCGTGATATTTAATGTGATGATTTGAAATGAAATGAAAATTGTTTTGTTGAGCCGGGAGCTTGTGCGGCGGCAGCTTGGAACCATGTAAAGCTACTATTTTACTGAAATGCAGTTGCATGCTGAAGATAGCTACATTTGGCTGCCCTGACTCGTGTTTTCGACACATCCATCATGTTTCTCGATGACTCTCGGTAGATGTAGTATTTCATCATTGTACGAGTAGCAGCACTGGAGACGAGGCGGTGATGTTTAACGCACATCGAGGACATCTTAATACGGCTAAACTCTCCAGAAGCTTTTTTTTCGAAAAATCAACCGATGAGCTAGAAATTTTTAAGGAAAAGAAATGAACGCGGGGGTCACTAGCAGGTTGTCCATCAGGCGATGCAGCATTGGTCAAAGCGATAGTGGAAAAATTACCAGCTGGATAATTGAAGGACCAGATTGCGGTCAAGGCTGATCCAAGTTTCATACCCTGTAGAGGAGGTTCGGTCACTTCTTTCTCTACAGGAGCTATTTTAGCAATCTCAGATCCTCCACTGACTATCGGTTGTTTGATTAAATATCCTGACTGCTGAACTGTATTATCATAACGGTATTTCTATGCCAGCTGTTGGAATTCTGATTTCTCTTAATCTGACCTAAGAATGTGTCTACCTGTTTGTATTTTTGCACAATTTTAGTGCGGAATTTTGATGTTGAATTGTTTGAGAAGAAGTGTCAGGCTTTGTGGAAGTATTTTTTAACGAAGCAGGGTTTTTTTATGCTCATGCAGGTGTTTTTTTTTTCAGATTCAGTCACTAATCTGTCCTCCGTCACCATGGAATATCACAGTCATCTATCCGCAACTCGAGGGATTCTGTAGTGAACTTGAGAACGATGTGCACGTGAAAAACCCCTGCCGTTTGCGCAGCTTTCTGCACTCATTCATTATTAATGTTTTCATTGATCAGTTCAAGTGCAAACTGGAAGGATTAGCTGAGCAGGCGATCAGTGATCAGGACGCTTGGCGTGTTCTCGTGCATTATCCGAATCCAGTAAGCTTCTTATTTCGACCTTTTTCTTTCATATTTTCTTTTTTTGCGTTTTTTTAAAATAAAAAACCACAAAAATTTTTTGTTTTTTCCCTATTAGTTGAGGTATTTCATATCAAAAAATAATAATAATCATACGCTAAATGATGACGCGAAA